GCTGCGTGCAGCTTGGACTTTTCGTGGGAAGCGCAACCCAGAGCGTTGTGCAGGGACTGGACAACGCGTGAGTGAGAGGCGCAACACAGTCGCTTTTCGCAGTGTGATTCGCGGCGCAATGTCAGACAAAGTCGCGCTAAAAGCCTAGAGTGCGATGGCGATGCGGTCGGTGCCCGCAACCGCGCATTGCGGAACGGCGGATCGCTGCCATCACACGCGTCGAACGCGAGGACCGCGACAGTGGCCGCAGCAATGTCGACGAACGAGAGAATCGCATTGCCAAGTACGAGAACGTCGATAAGCGCGCTCATACATTCATCAGGCCTGACCAAAGCTTTTCGGAGCTCGTCGGTACATTGAGCGCCGAGCTGCGCGGCTACATTCCAGTCGAACGTGAACGGCGGTGCTCGACGTCGTCTTTGACTCATCAAGGCTGACATTGGCCGCGTCGATTGATTCGAAATGCATGATCGGACTCCAGACAGCAAGCCTCTTGCCGAGCAGTGAGGTTATTCCACCACGGGCAGCATCCACATGCACTCACATGACAATCTCTCCGCGCACCACTTGATGCGCTACGTCGCAAGTCAGCGCATGTGTGATGATGTGCTCAATGCAACAATGCTAGGACGGCATTGCAGCATCGGACTCGAGCGGCTGTCCGCTGCGCACCACGGACCGCGCGCCCCAGAGCTCATCTTTTGCATCCGCAGCGATCGAGGAGTGCATCAACCCATACCAAACCTCAAGACGCAGCGACGCAGCGACGCCAGCTAAATACAGAGCCACCCAATTCAGGCTCAACTTGCATTTATTGTCGCCGAGCCGGTCCTGTGTGGCTGTGTATTTAGCTGGCGTCGCAAGTCGCACCACAGAGTGACGGATGTCGGGCGCGGCAACGCTGGTGTGAGAGCAACCGGCGCTGAGCCTTGCGTCCGTCGTCGTCCAAAGGGCGGCTTGCTCACCACAAACGTCCCCGAAGCAGACTGTGCTTTCCGCTCAACACCGCAGTTTGCGCGCCTGCGAGCGAGATGTACGCTCCGGCCGCCACGCGTCGACAAGAGCCTTTGCGAGCGGCAATTCAGCACGCTTCCTGGGGAGCAGAGTCTCCAGATGACCTGCATACTCGACTCGGCCGCCGTTCGTCGCCGCCTATTCTCAACGATTTGCTGCCCTCGACGCAGAGTTTCGCCCGAGTCGGATCGGTGGGCGTCGAGGAGCGCGTCACACGCGCGTGAGGACGCGGAGCGTTGTGCTCGCCTCTCAGCGATTCACCATTCTAACGCTTGCCTCGCTGCTTGCCTCGCTGCTTGCTGCGCGCATTGTCACGGAGAGCTTCGCGAGCATCAAGCTGTACGCTCGGCGAGTGAAAAGGACAATCTTCGAAAAAAAAAAACAATGCGCATGCGCATGCGCATGCGTTCTCGACGACGAATCACTGAGCGATTACAATTCACCTCCCAGGTAGACACGGCTTGGTGCAGCTAGAGATCCTGCGCAGGTCCGGCGGGTAAGTGGTCGGCAGTGTCATGCCTCGCATGCCACTCGAAAGTCGTATCATCAAAGCGACTTGGGCTTGGCTGTCGCGGCTGTCGCGTCCGCTCTCGCTGCTGCGGCGCTGCCTGGTGTAAAGTCCGAGAATGTGCCTTGATCCAGATCTTGAAAGGCCTCTAGACCACCTTGGGAGCCGAGGAGGCTGTCGATGCCGTCGAGATACTTGTGCATGGCTACTTGTGCCTCTGGCTGCATGGCGCTACGAGAGCGGCGGAGCGTGCGTGCGCGTGCGTGCGTGCGGAAGCGAAAAAGTAAGCAGCGGACGCACGCACGGAAGCGAAGCGAAAAAGGTAAGCAGCGGACGCACGCGCACCATCCACGCACACCCGCCTCGCTCCACTCTGACTCACCAAACGGCAAAGTGAGCCTTTTCGCGTTGCATGCCTGCAAAGAGACTGCTAGACGCTCCAATGTGCACGCAATCCTTGATGGCCGCTACAGCCCTTGGAGACCGCCTGGCCAGCTTGATGGCCATGTCCAGCGTCGTTTGCAAGAGGTCAGGAGCAGGCACGAGCCTGGTGACCAGACCCAGTTGCAGCGCCTCTTCAGCTCTCAATAGCGGTTTGTCGAGACAAATCTCGATGGCCTTGGCGGGACCGAGATTGCGGGTGAGCATCTGGGTGCCCCCGCCACCGGGAATCAAGCCCAAGGTGATCTCTGGCTGCCCGATGCCGCTGCCTCGCGCTTGACCTGCAATGCCCTCGGCCGGAGTGTCGACCATGATGCGCAGATCGCAGGCCAGTGCCAGCTCGCAGCCTCCGCCAAAAGCTCTGCCGTTGATCATGGCGATGGTGACCTGAGGTACGCTGCGCAAGAGTGCGGTGCACTCGTGATACGAGTTCAAGTTGGACATGCCACCCAGCGGCGACTTGCGAACCAGCCATCGCAGACCGATGAGGCTGAGAAGGGATTCCAAGTGCAGCGCGCCTCGAAGCAGGGCGGCAGGAGGAGAGAGGGCGGGGTGAGGGATGAGATCGCCGAGATCGGCAATCTCGCCCACATCGTAGTGGCTAATGTAAATGTCGGGCAGTGCCGAGCCCAAAATCACTGCGCCCGTATCCTGGGCGGTGAGGGAGCGCAGCAAAGCGGCCAGCTGATCCAGCACGTCCCCATTCAATCTGGGCGTGGGCGGAGCGTGGGCGTGTGTGCATGCGCGCGCGGCGATTTATCATCAGTCAGCCAAGCTGTGCGCGGTGCGGTGCGGTGCGGTGCGGCGCGGGCAGGGCAGGGCGATGGACTCAACAGATTAAAAGGAGGATTGCAGATAGCAATCTGCAAGACGCGCGGTGCCGGTCTGCGCGTCTTGAGCATGCTCGACGTTTGTCTCCAGCTGGTGTCCGTCATGATGATCGGTGGGGTGTGGTGGGGTGGGGTGCGCTGCGGTGCGGTGCGTGGCTTGCCTGGCTGCGAGGGAGCGGATGCGTGCGCTCTCTCGGTCTCGGTCTCGCGGAAGACTGGCCTTGAAGAGGAATGTGCGAGTGGGGAGCGCGGGTGTTGGTGGTGGATGAGCAGCTATATATGGCTATAGCTAGCCAGTTCCAATCAAGACGGCAGCGGCGGTGCGCAGCCACAAAGTCAAGATTTCACAAACATTACACACACGCCCTGCGCGCGAACTGCACCGCCATGCATGCACGCAATTAACGCGATCGCGATGGACTAGCTGCAGCCGCCCGCCGCGCTTCCTTCCACCCGTCCCACCCGTCCCACCCTACCTGTCCCCACCGGCTCGCTTCGCGCGACCCGGATTCTTGACTCTCGTGCGAGACAACCATCTCCTCATTCCACCGGGGTCACGTGACTGATCCCAAAAAAAAAAA